TATTTTTTCTGGGGCTCTTGTCTGGGCTCCTGCAGGCACGCAGCCAGGAGAGGGAGTGGCGGTGGTGAAGCCAGAGAGGGAGCCTGTTGCTGGCGCAGGACCCCACGTCCGTCCGTGCCCCTCGGAGGACGCCCACCTCGCCTGCCTCCCATGCCTGAGCCGTCTGGCTGCGGCAGCCAAGCGCAGGCAGCCACTTGTATACCCTGTTTCAATTCACCTGACTGCCGCAAGTCAAAACTGGCTCAGGGTGGGACGCGGATTAAAGTAAACGGGAACTGTTCTTGGGCCATCTACTAAGCACTTCGTAGAAGTAACCTGCAGGCGAGGCAGAAACACAGGCTTGGTCTTTACCACGCCCCAACCAGCACTGTTCTCAGCCAGTTTGCTGTAGGTGAAGGAGACCCGGCGCCACCTGGCGGGCGAGCCTGCTCCTGCGCCGCCCCCAGGCCGCGGCGTGTTCTCTGGGAGGGAGCCTCTGGGCTTGGCTCCTGTCCTGCTTGCATGTGGCTTGAAGATTCGCGAGAGCGATTCATTTCTCATCAGACCTCGAGCTGCGTCCACACGGAGACCACGCGGAGTGTGGGCTGTGAGCTGTACCCGCGCCCTGCTCAGGGCAGTTGTTGATGGTTCAGGTTTTTCTGGATCATTAAGCCACATCTTTCTTTTTGCTTAATTCCTTGTTTCCTTTTTTGTTTTGCTGATCAAGCTTTTTTATTATGAAAAAAAGAGAAAAGTAGAGTATTGCAGTTAGCATCCACCTACCTCTCACCTACGTGGATTAGGTCTTGTATTTCACTATATTGGCTTCACCTAGCTGTGTATTTCTACGAATGATCTCAAAGTATGTTAAAAACATCCTGACAGTTTATTTCTATTTCAGCATACAGCTCAAAAAATACAGTGTAACAGACACAGTCACAAAATTCTTGTCTTACTGAACAAAATTATTTTCCAGCAGTATCTAAAATCCAGACTATGTTCTAATTGTTCCACAGAGATTTTCCATGTTATAAAAACACTGGCTATTTGGTCACCCTTAGCCGCTCGGCATGGAGGTTTGCCTAGACCACTAGTACGCCAGGAGGCTGCAGTGATGTGGGCTCTCCGCATACGAGGGGCTCAGCAGTGGCGATGGGCTGGCTTTGCCCTCCCTCCGGCCACACTGTGCTCCTCACCTTCTTGCTTGGAGCATGTGGCCCTTGGACTGGCCAGGGCCCCCGGGCAGGGGTGGGAGGAGCAGCCGGGCGGCCTGTGGGTGAGTCCTCATGTGAGCGCTCGCCTGGTCCTGAGTTGTCCCAGGTAACACTGTGTGAAGGTGTTGCTCATTCTGCCCGTTCAGTGTAATTTTAATTTTTTTTTTTTACAAAAGTATTGTCTAGTCTTTTGAGGTTGTCTGTCCATGGACTGCTCCATATGCCCTCTGACTAGGGATCGAGTGTGCAGTAGTCTTCTTCGCTTTGTGGTGCTGGGGATCCAACCCCCAGTACCGGGCTACATCCCCAGCCTTTCCGCTCTGCTGTTTTGAGGCAAGGTCTCACTGCTGCGCCCAGGCTGCCTCCGACTTGCCATCCGCTTGGCTCAGCCTTCTGAGTAGCTAGGGCTGCAGGTGTGCACCGCGCCTGGCTCGGATTGTGGTATTCCTGGGGAATATAGTCTGTTTTCATGTTCTTTCTATTCGTGTGAACTTGGGCTTTAGTAAAGCTTACTTAAAATTGCCTCTAGAACCACAAAAGGATAAAATTGTGCAAAATATCTGGGCCGGAAGGTGCATCTCAGTGAAGAATGCTTGCTACTGTGCACCAGGCCCCAGGATGAATCAAAGCACTGCCAAAATAAAACAAAACAAGAAAACCCCACAAAACCCCAAAGCTTTGTGGACAAAGCTGTGCATATGTATCTGCTTATTGTGATGCTGGGTTTTGTAGAATATGGAACACATTTGACACTTTAAAATCAAACGTAATTTAAAATTGTTAGGGGGCTTTATTTTAAAATTGATAATCTATAATTTCCCAGCTTATGTTTATCTTTAGAGCTCCATAGTTTGTGTTTATTCTCTGGTGGTTCTCCATAAAGTATCATAAGTGATTGGCAGTTTGCTGCTGTTCAAGTCAGCATCATTCTTACAGATGAAAATATTTCCTCACCAAACTGTATGTCATCGGTTTTATGTAGTTCTAGTACATAAATAAAGCAGTGTCTTGGTAGTTATTGACAGGTTGATTCCAATGTAAACTATTTCTTTGAATAGTTCTAAGAAATTATGAGGTTGGGCTTCAGGAATGGGAACAATTTTCCAGTTTAGTTTTTCCTCCTGGAGAGTCCTAGGTCCTTTGCTGGTGGTTGGTTTTCTAGCTCTTGGTTCTGCCCTGATTCAGAGCCTGTCACTTGAGTATCTCCCTTACCCTTTTTGCTTTGTAATAGGAAGATACTGTATTTCTCAGGTATTTGATATTTTTCTGTTTTTCTAAACTTTGGAACATTGGTCAGCAATCGGTAGACAACGGTTTGGGGGCTTTTCAGTATGTCTAGCTCTGTGACAGAAGTATTTTTCTTTTCCTCCTGGTTTCCCGTAGCATACGCTTACTGTGGGCTTCTGGCCTGGCTGTGGGGAGGGGTTGGACCCTGGCCACGTCTGTGTGGCTCTGCGTGTGGCAGGTGGGGCGTGTGTTTCCACCGTGGCTCAGTGGACTCACGTGGGATCTGATCACAGCCTGGCCCCCAGGCCCAGAGCCACAGGCGGGGCAGGAACCCTCCAGATGTGCTCTGCAAAGCTCCCGCTGTTGGTGCTCAGTGAAGGCATGGCATGGGAAGATGAGGCGTTATGCTGTGTCCAGCCCCGCGTGCGCATGCGTGCTCCTCAGGGCCATTTTAAAACTGCTTCGCATCAGGGGCCGAAGAAGCTGATGCCAACTCAGCCAGTGTCAGATGCTGACGCAGCCGGTCTGTGGTGTGGGAGCACTGGGCAGACCCAGCAGAAAGGCCAGAGCGGCCCACAGTGCTCAGGAGGGAGGGAGGCTGCAAAACTGGCTTCAGGGCCACTGCTCAGTCACTCCACCCGGCAGGGCCCAAGGGGACTTGTCTGCCTCAGTTTCCTCTCTGTGATGTTCTGCAGGTTCTCGAGGTGTAATTCTGCTTCAGCATCGTGTTTCTCAGCTGGCAGAGAGTGTGATACGTGTGCCTTTGCCTCTGTCTTCGGGCCTGGAGCGCCATCCAGGCCTGCAGAGTGCCTGCGCCTCACCCAGGGGAGGGCTGAGGGTGTTGCAGGCCTCCTATGTGTCCGGCCCAGCAGGGAGTGTGTTGGCGAGCAGTTAGGCTGGCTTCCTGCCCACTGGCATCAGCACACAAGTGGGACAAGGCTGCGGAAATGAGATGGAGAAACATTCAGCAAGCCTGGATGGAGTGGGAGGCAGCTGTGGGGCCTGGGTGGCTGGAGGGGACCAGCTGAGCAGGAAGAAGCACTGGGCAGGTGTTCAGGTGACAGCTGATTGGCACAGTGCAGACAGTGAGGGTGGGCAGGGAGCGTGGAGAGGACAGGCCAGGTCCCGCCAGACCTTGTGTGGCCACGTCAGGGCCGTCGGCCTTCATCCCAAGAGCAGTGGTGTCCTTAGGAGGAGAGACGTCGTCCTTTAAGATTTTGTAAGTTGTGTTACTTTGGGAGGCTGAGAAAGTGGTCAGGAGAGGAGAGGAGAGGAGAGGAGAGGAGAGGAGAGGAGAGAAGATGGCAGGCTGTGGACTCCTAGGTCTAGGGGAGGCCAGGCCTGCAGTGCAAGGGAGAAACCTGGAAAATTGGCCCATGGTAGCAGGGCCAGGGTGTGCCAGGAAGGAGGAGGTCTGCTGGGTTAGGGGCTGGGCTGTGAGGGCAGACAGATCTCTGCACTTGCTTACCTTCAGGTCCTGGCCTCAGGACTTCATTACCTTCCTGCACTCCCCGTGAACCCAGGCTGTGTCCCCAGCTCCCCCATGGGCTCTGAAGGAAGAGCCCTGGGTTTGCATCCCTTTCTGGTTCCTGCCTCTGCTGGTCACCTGCTCTGGTCCTCAGCAGTCCTGCCCTGAGTTGAGAGGAGCCCCAGCCCCTGCTGCCCGATGTGCCATCCTGGGCCTCTGAAGCCACCTGCCAGCTGTTGCTGGTTTCCACACCATCCTGTCCAGAGCCTGCCCTCCAGGCCCTCCCTGCTGCCGCCTCTGAGCTGTGTCACCTGAGGGCTGTGACCTCTGGAGGCTGCCCCATGCTCTGCCCTCCCCAGCACCCTCTGCAGGTGCTCCCAGCTGTGGTGCTCACCGAAAGTCCTCCCCCAGGCAATCCCGTGTGCCTTCGGACTTCTGGTCCCCGCCCCTGTCTGGACGGGGTGCATATGTGCGTGCCTTCTCTCCCCCGCAGCGTCCCTGGCTCTCATGGAGCCCAGGTCACCTGGCCGTTCTGCAGGTGCATCCTGCATTGTAAGAGCGATGCCAAGATTGCCCACCCTTCCCCTCGTGCTGCCCCTCACCTGCTTGTGACTGCATGGGCCACGCTATCCCCAGCTGTGGGGCTTAGAGAGAAAGAACCCTGGCGGAAGTGCAGGGGTGGGTGGGCTGGGGCTCTGTGGGGTGTGTGGAGCTGGTGGGTTCCTCTCTGCCTTGCCAGGGGCCTGGAAGTTCGCCCTGCTGGGCTTAGCGGTGTCCAGCCATCCCCTGCCCGCTGATGTGGTCTTTCTGTGTCTTCCTGGCTTCACCAGCTTGTCTCATTATTTGCACTATTTGCTTAATTGTCTCTGCGGTATATTTTCTTCCTGTCCCTCCTGCTAGTTTTATATGCTGTTTTGTGATGTAGAGTTGAAAGGAGTAGTTTATGATGTGTAGTTGAAAAATGGCAGTGGGATGCCAGAAAAGAGGCTCTGGGGAAGACCCTTTTCTTCCTCATCCAAAGTCACGCATTGTGCATTGCCTCTGATTCTGTTCCGATCATTTAGTATCTTCAGGTTGACAAAGTAATTTTCTGATGTGATTTGTTTTTTTAGGTGACTTGCCCAGCGATGCAGGTAAGTGTGGTCTTGATGTGTCAGTGCAGTTGTGTGCGTGTGCAGACGTGAGCATGTGCCCCACACCTTGCTGTACACCTGCACCCGTGCATGTGAGCCAAGGAAGCATAACTCAATTTAAGATTTAACTTATGTCTTAAGTTTTAATCTTGTGCATGTATTATACATGTTTATGTTTTAATCCTGAAAACACTGCATTCCAGGATTTTTGGCCCCAAGTATATTTCCAGTATTCAAATTCTGATTTGTTTTTGTGACTTTCTGAAGTATAAATTTCTTGTATTTTAAATATTATTGTAAATTTGTCCTAGTTTGGGCTTGTAACTTGCTGGGTCAAGCTTTTTTTTTTTTTTTTGTACTGGGGATCAAACTCAGGACCTTGCACTTGTGAGGCAGGCGGTGAAACTACTGAGCTAAATCCCCGGCCCA